TGTGCTCCACTGTACCACCCGTAGGTCACACGGTCCCATCACAAGGCCTCCTCTTGCTATCACAGTGATGACGTGTGACTTCCAGATGTTTCATCTCTTCCATCGCTACAATCTCTAGGGCCACCACAGTGCTACGCTATGACATCAGGGTACCGAACTGCAGCGTCAAGGTGGTTTTCATGCCGACCTGGGTCATCTCAGTTCTCACCTGGGATGTGACAACACTCCGTGGGGTGTCATGGTCCTCCAGGGTAGTGTCGAACTGCCCAATGCTCCATGATGACATCGCAGTGCTGAACTTTGACCCCTCAATAATCAATTGTGCGAACGTAGTGCCCAACTGTGACTTGACAATGCTATGCTGTGCCATCATGCACTCTGGGGTGCCTGGACAATGCCGGATCTTGATGACACATGCCAAACTGTAAGCCTCACAATGCTGTATTTGATCACGATGCCTCACTGCGCTGTGAAAATGCCCTCTGTACCATTATATAGCTCACTTGTGAGAGAACAGGAACACAACTTAGCAGCACCCCCACTCCAGCCAGAATAGCACCCTGTCTCCTGGAAACTCCATTGTATCCCCTTACTGTGGCTAACCGTTTCAGCTTCCCAAAGCCAACTTCCTTAAGTCAACACCGCTAATAGCATTCCTGCGCATCCTATTCAATTATTAACACTGCCTGCTTGAACTAGCCCACACTCATTTTGACCAGTTCACTCCCAAGCCCTGATTTAAAAAAAAAAAAACCAGCCTGGAAGAGAAATGTGTGCTCTGACACCTGATGAGAACCCTTCTCAGGTTTCCAACGTGAATCTGTGTTCACAGCCAAGCCGCCTCTTTGCCGTTCTCTTCCTCCTCCACCTTGGGCTATCACAGTGCTGCTCTGTGATGTGATGATGATGAAGGTCTCCACTGTGACATGTCGGTCACCTTATGACAGACACAGCAATGCTGAGCTGCAGCGACAGCATTCTGGACTGTGGCTTCACGCTGCTCCACTTCATCCGGAAGAAACATCGGAATGTGACAGCACGGTGTTGCTAGATTGTGACGTTACAATATCCCACTGTGCCAATACCACAGTTTATAGTTCCATAACAAAGCTGAATTGTGCAGTCAATCACAAGGCTCCGCTTTTGTCATGACAGTACCGAACTATAACAAAATTCTGAACTGTGACACCATATGATGTATTGTGACATCACAACGTTGAATTACAACATCACAGTATTGTATTGTGACAGGACAGTTTTCCCTTGTGTTGTCTAATTTTCCACCGTTACCATGTCATACTGTAATATGCTGAACTCTGGCATCACAATGTTCCATTGGTGGTGTGACATCATGCCAAATATTAACATCACAGTGCTCCTCTTGTACGTGACAACTCTCTGTGACATCACAGAATTGAAATGAGGAACTGAAACATTCTGTTGTGCACGATAAAGCTCCATTGCATCATTGCATCGTGACATCAATGCATAGATGACTGTTACCGAGCTCAGTTGGCATCGTCTTCTTGCTATGAAGAACCTGATCATGGCTGCTTGGTTTTGTTGTTTGGGTTTGTGTTTTGTTTTGGTTTGGTTTGGTTTGCAGGAATGTAGAAGACTTCAGAACTTAGGATTAGAAAAGTGGTTGAATACTGCATGAAGACCCCAACAGTTTTAGTAGGAGCCTAGAAGACAGAAGTGTTGAGAAAAATGTAGACAGTAGAGACTCAGCTCAAGACATTGCAGGGAGGAACAAGAACTCTACTGGCAATTGGGCTGGCAGCTATTTGTATGAGATCTTGGCAAAGAATCTGACCACTCTGTCCATGCCCTGATAATCTGTGTGAGGCCACGTTAGAGAGGAAAGGCCTAATTCTTTTTGCAGAGGAAATTACAAGACAACATGGCATTGAGTCTAAGTATGGCCATTACTGAACCATATCTGCCTGCATGCCACCATGCTTCCCACCTTGATGGCAACGGACTAAACCTCTGAATTGTAAGCCAGCCCCAATGAACTGTTTTCCTTTATAAGAGTTCCTGGGGTCATGTGTCTCTTCGCAACAATAAAACCCTAAGATGGGATATTAGGACTATTATAGAGAAATGACAGGCTCTGCATCAGACAGAGAGGAAGAGGACCCTTGGGGAGACCACCACTTCAATCTGGGGAGTTTTCTGACCCTCGAAAGCATAGAAAAGCTGGTGCAATTGTAGTCGAAGTGGCGAGGAGTCCATTCCAAGCTGGTAGCTGAACTTGGCCATATCATCCATGTGGTACTGCTTTTAAAGACTGGTGATGCAATATTCTGAAAATATCTCTTACTTTCTTAGAGACTGGTACTTTTTCTGAACCTCACAGCCAGAGTTAATAATATACCTTGAAGTCACTTAAGACTGAGAGCCTACAGTGCACTAAAACTGTTTGTTTAACCTACCTTAAAGGGAAAAATGTAACAATCACCCTTACTTGCCTGGGATTTCCTGTACAATCAACGTTTACAATAGTAGCTAAATGCATAGCTGTAATTTTAAGTTAATGTATTCTTCAGAGCTGCTGACACAGATAATGCATGTGTATCATTTGCCGAAAGCAGCAAACAGAAGTAGAAAGCAACTTCCTAAAAGGTACCAGAGAGGTTGAGAGGGAACATTTATGCACAAGGGTGGAACTCAACACAGGAACTCATGCAGAGGCCACAGAAGATGCTGCTTACTGGCTTGCTGCCCACGACTTGCTTGGCCTGATTTCTCTTTTTCTCTCTTTATTTTCTTTTACTTTTTATTTGACAGGGCTCTCTGTGTAGCACTGACTGTCCTGGAACTTACTCTGTAGACCAGGCTGACCTTGACCTTAGTCTGCTTTCTAGTAACACCCAGGACCACCATTCTAGAGGTGGCACTGTCCAGTGTGCTAGTCCCTCTCACATTGGTCACCAATCAGGAAAACATCGTACACAGGCTAATCTGGTGGGGACATTCTCTGAACTAGGCTCCCTTTTTCCTGGTGATTGTAGCTTGTGTCGACAAAGACTAGCCAACACAACTCTAGTCCTTCAACTGCTAGTAAAGCTTCTCCATAACCTTAGCACACCCTCAGGGAGGACCCCACACACCAGGCAGGTGCCACTCCATACCCCCTACAAGAAGATTGCCAACCTGGAACTTCCCCCACTGACAGCTCCGGCCACAGTCCTCATCTTAGTTACACATCTCACAACCCTCAACGCTCTCCATCTCCGCCACTACCACACTCGCCCTGTAGAGGCAAACCACCATGTCCAAATGTTCTCTGCACACACACACACTATACACACACACACACATGTAGTGGTATTTCATTTGTATTTTAATAAATAAGGCTTGCCTGAAGATCGGAGGGTAAAACAGTACCACTCATCAGCCTTACAGACCAGGCAGGGATGACACACACCTTTAATCCCAGTAGTCATGCTAGTTTGTCATAAAAACCAGGCGGTAGTGGTGCACGCCTTTAATCCCAGCCCTAGAGAGGAATATAAGATGGGAGCAGACAGCTCTCAGATAGTCTCATTCTGAAGATTCCTGGAGGCAAGGTCGCCATTCCGGACTGAGGTGGAGGTGAGAGCCAGTGACTGGCTACTTTGCTTTGCAGGTCTTCCTGTTGAACCCCAATTTCTCTGAGTTTCTATTATTTGCACTTCATTTGGCACCTTCAAGCTTCACTCACACATACATGCACACATACATGCACGCACACACACATGCACACATGCACACTTCAAGCTTCACGCACACACATGCATGCATGTACACTTCAAGCTTCACGCACACATACATGCACGCATGCACACTTCAGTTGTCTCATTCTCCCTATCAGGCAGGACACATTACTCCTCCCAAAAGCACCCTTGGTTTTGTTACTGTCCACTGGCTTTGTTGTGTGATGTTTTACTATTTTAGCTTTTGGGGGGGCCCACCATCCAGCTCCCAAATAAATCATACATGGAGGTTTTTTCTTACTTATACTTGCCCAGCCTTAGCTTGTTTTGTTTCTTGACAGCTTTTCTTAAATTATCCTGACTACCTTTTGCCTGTGGGCTTTTATCTTTCTCTATACCTTTCTTTACTTCTCCATGGCTTGCTGTGTAGCTGGGTGCTGTGTTGCTGGGTGGCTGTGCAGCTGGGTTCTGTGTAGTTGTGTAGCTGGATGGCTGTGTAGTTGGGTGGCTGTGCAGCTGGGTGGCTGTGCAGCTGGGTGCTGTGTAGCTGTGTGGCTGTGTAGCTGGGTGCTGGGTAGCTGGGTAGCTGTGTAGCTGTGTGCTGGGTAGCTGGGTGCTGTGCAGCTGGGTGCTGTGCAGCTGGGTGCTGTGTAGCTGGATTGCTGGCCCCTGATGTCCACCTCTCCTTGTTGTCTCATTCTCCATTGTCCCTTGGTTCTCCCTCTATTTATCCTCTCTGCCTGCCAGCCCTGCCCATCCTTGCTCCTGCCTCACCATTGGCCCTTCAACACTTTATAACTTCTTTATAATTTCATTTTATTCTTAATCATTTCCCACAAACATATGGTATTTCTGTAGTGCTCTTTCTAAAGCTTATCATTACATTGTGATTTGTATGTTGCCGTCAACACAAATGAATACCAACACTTCTGTGTCCTTTGTGCAGCTAAGGGGTGATGTGTGGATAAAACCCATATGATAAAAACATTATAAATAACTTACAACTCAGAAAGCTATAACACTATATATCTTCACATCCCTCATAATTTCTGGGTGAGTGTAAAAAGGATTGATTAAAGGAGAATCTTCAAATCTGCACATTGGTTTGAAGGATAAGGACACTGAGAACAGGGATTACCAGCCTTTCACTTTTCCTCAACAAAACATTACTAAGATTTGCTATTTACATACTCCAATAAGGTGGACTAATCTCAGTGACAAAATGTCAAGCAATACATATTAGAGATAACAAGACTCATGCACTCCATGTGTGCACTAAAATAAAGTTTGTACATAATATACAGTTTTTCAAAATCTATTTTATGTTCTCTGGAGAAAACAGTTAAAAACTTCTCAGAAAGAAGGTTTACTCTTCTGTTAAGATGGCCCATAGCTGAGCTTTGCACAGTTTTTAACAGTGAAGTTATTCAGTAGATTTGGATGTATGACAAATTCCATCTTTTCAGAGATGAGTTCAAATAACTCTGACACCTCTGGTGTATTTCTTTCCACCCCATTGACTAATGATAAGCAGAAGTCCAAAATTTTGGCACATTCTACATACTCAAAAGATTTCTGTCCTGTGCTAATTTTTTATGTACATCAAGATTTATTGAGGTATGGGCTGTCTTTAAAAAATCGATCTGAGGTATTTGAGAAAGCATTGTTAATATTTTTATTTAATGAGGGGATTTCTGGGACAGCATTAGACCCCTCTGAGGGCTACACACAGGACAGTGCTCTTTCTGATAGAATTTTCTGCTGGAAGAGCTGAGATCCAAGGCCAGGCCACATATCACATCTGTAAGCTGTTCTCCGCTGTGGACTGTTTAGTATGGAGTAACCTCTACACACCTGTTACGAGTTTCGGCACACTTTACACTTGGAGTGTCTCCCTCACATATGAGCCTTTCGGTGTGAGCTAGAGATCCAGCAGTTACTGAAATCCTGAACTGCATATATAGGGTGTTTCCCCCTTAAGAAACATCTAGTGACAAATTCCTACTATCGAGACTTCGCCAAATGCTATACACTGCTGGGTTTCACTAACATGAGTTTCCTGGTGCCGTTTCAGGCTGGAAGGAGTAATAAAGGCTTTGCCGCACTCCTTACACCGATAGGATTTCTCTCGGGTATGAATTCTCTGGTGCCGATTAAGCTGGAAGGAGAAGTAATAGGCTTTGCCACACTCTTTACATTTGTAAACTCTATCTCCGGTATGAGTCCTCTGGTGCTTCGTCAGGTACGCAGAACAGTTGAAAGCTTTGCCACACTCCTTACACACGTAGGGCTTCTCTACAACATGGACTCTCTGGTGCTTACTGAGATATGATGAGCAGTTGAAGGCTTTGCCACACTCTTTACATATGTAGGGCTTCTCTCCCGTATGAACTCTCTGATGTCGGTTCAGCTGGGAAGAAAAATAATAGGCTTTGCCACATTCTCTACATTTATACAGTCGGACGCCAATATGAATCCTCTGATGTTTAGAGAGATAGGAAGAACAATTAAAGGCTTTGCCACACTCTTTACACACGTAGGGTTTCTCTCCAGTATGAATTCTCTGATGCTTGGTAAGGTATGAAGTGCAGTTGAAGGCTTTGCCACATTCTTTACACATGTAGGGTTTCTCTCCACTGTGAATTCTCTGGTGTCGAATCAGCTGTGAAGAGCATTTAAAGGATTTACCACACTCTTTACATCTATAGGGAATCTCTTCGAAATGAATTTTCATGTGCTGGATCAAGTATGAGGAACAGTAAAAGGCTTTGCCACACTCTTGACATTTGTAGGGTTTCTCTCCTGTGTGGATTATCTGGTGTCGAGTAAGTGTTGAGCTATTATTGAAGGCTTTGCCACATTCCTGACATTTGTAAGGTTTCGCTCCAGTATGAAGTATTTGGTGTCGAGTCAGGTTTGAGTGGTATTTGAAGGTTTTGCCACACTCCTTACATAGATAAGGTTCCTCTCCAGTATGGATTCTCTGGTGTCGAATCAGCTGTGAGGAAAGCCTAAAGGGTTTGCCACACTCCTTGCATCTATAGGGCATCTCTTCAAAATGAATTTTCATGTGCTGGATCAAAAATGAGGAACAGTAAAAGGCTTTGCCACACTCTTGACATTTGTAGGGTTTCTCTCCCGTGTGGATTATCTGGTGTCGACTGAGAGTTGAGCTATTATTGAAGGCTTTGCCACATTCCTGACACTGGTAGGGTTTTGCCCCGGTATGAACAATTTGGTGTCGAGTCAGGGTTGACTGATACCTGAAGGCTTTTCCACATTCTTTACATTTGTAGGGTTTCTCACCAGTGTGGATGACCTGGTGTTGGGTAAGAGATGAATGTTTACTAAAGGTCTTGCCACATTCCTCACACTTGTATGGCTTCTCTCCTTTATGAATTATCTGATGTTGACTAAGGGTGTGACTTCTCTTGAAGGCTTTGCCACATTCCTGACATCTGTAGGGTTTGGCTTCAGTATGAATGACTTCATGCTGAATGAGAGTTGAATTATATTTAAAGGATCTCCCACAGTCTTCACATTTATAGGGTTTCTCTCCAGTGTGACTGATCTGGTGTTGAGTAAGTACGGAATGTGTAGTGAAGGCTTTGCCACAGTCTTCACATTTGTAGGGTTTCTCTCTCTTATGAGTCATCTGGTGCTGTGTGAGGTTCCTGCTTCTCTTGAAGGCTTTGCCACACTCCTGACACTGGTAGGGCCTTGCAGCAGTATGAATGATGCGGTGTTGGGAGAGGATGGAGCGGTATTTAAAGGCTTTGCCACAATCTTTACATTTGTAGGGCAAATGCCGCTCAGAAGCTGAATCATCAGCAAAAGCTTTGCCACGATCTTCACATCTGAATGGCTCCTCTCCACTGTGCGCACACTGATGAACAGTACACTCTGCATGCTGATCACAGGCTTTTGCGGAGTCATTACAGTCACACAGATTTTCTGGGGAGAAAAGAAGACATACAATTTTAACTGTGGGGAATGTTTGCCGTCCTGCTGTCTGGAGGACATGTCTGCTTGCCATGGTATTGAGGTCAGATTCAGAAACAATCCACCTTAGTGTAGTGCCTGAGGTGATTTGTTATTTGGATTTTTTGCAGGTGTTTCCTCTCATTATACCCTAGGCTCTTCACAAGAGCAGGACAAAAAAAAATTCTTCCAAAATATGATAGGGAGAAGATGCGGAAAGTATGACCTTGACAATATGCATTAAAGAAAAATAGAAATGTAGCAAGCCTTCAGATACCAACCAACCCTTACTTGACTCCAAAGCTTTTTACACCAGAGCAAAACCCTTCAAATATCAAAAATGTGGCAAAGGCTTCAATAACAGTTTGATTCTGAACTGACACCAGAGTTCACCTGGGAGAGAAGCTCCACACACACCAATGAGTGTGAAGGCTAGGAAGCACTTCACAGCCAGAATGCGGCAACTGTGCACAACAGAGAACCCATTGCCGGCTGAGACCAAGAGCTACGGCATCTCAGAGCACAGGCTAAGAAAACTATATGTTTAAGTAAATGTTCACACTATGTCTGGAAACATAACTTTCCTCTTAAATGAAATTTGCTTTTTTTTAAAAAAAAAAATTTATTTATTTATTATATATACAATATTCTGTCTGTGTGTATGCCTGCAGGCCAGAAGAGGGCACTAGACCTCATTACAGATGGTTGTGAGCCACCATGTGGTTGCCAGGAATTGAACTCAGGACCTTTGGAAGAGCAGGTGATGCTCCTAACCACTGAGCCATCTCTCCAGCCCTTAAATGAAATTTGGGTAATTCTTAAGACACAACTGTTCTATGCTTTTATTAAGAACCTGAACAACTGAAATGTAGCTGAACCAAACATTCCTTTGGAAAAGAAATTTTAGGAATGAAGAATACGCTGTAAAGTGAGATTGTCTTTGGGAAGGGCTCATTTTTCTGTCACCAGCAAATTTGTTTTCTCTGTACCAAAATATACACCTTTAATAAATGCAGTAAGTAGCTGTTGTTTGGTTTGTTGTGGTTGTTGTTTGTTTTGAGACGAGGCTTCACTGGATGGCCAGGCTATCCTGGTACTTGGTATGGAGCCGATGCTCACCTTGAACTTTCCATGATCTTTCTGCTTCATGTTGATCTTACAGGTGTGGGCTCCTGCACACAGTTAACCACCTGTCAATTCTTTTCTACATCCAAATCCAGACATAGGTACTTAAGAATCCAGCACACGTGTAATGAACATAGGAAAATCATTACTGAGGCTGGGAAATAATGTGTTGGAGAGAAAATGCTGGTGTAATGAAATTCTTAGCTTTTGCCAATTTGAAGTCAAGTAAGGTTTGGTTGGTATTTGAAGGTTTGCTACATTCCTATCTTTCTTTAATGCATATTGTCAAGGTCATACTTTCCGCATCTTCTCCCTATCGTATTTTAGAAGAAATGTTTTCTTTTTTGTCCTGCTCTTGTGAAGAGCCTAGGGTATAATGAGAGGAAACACCTGCAAAAAATCCAAATAAAAAATCACCTCAGGTACTACGCTAAGGTGGTTTGCTTCTGAATCTGACCTCAATACCATGGCAAGCAGACATGTCCTCCAGACAGCAGGATGGCAAATAGAAGACCCCCTCCATTTTCCCACAGGCAGCTGCTGAAAAGCTGGTTACTTTCCTCGTCAGTCCCAGCTCTGCACCTCTGAAAACAGCACTCTACTAACACCCCAAACAAAAGCTGCTTCCCCCATCATCTGCTCTCTTGGGAGAAAAAAAGGAGAACAAATGTATATATCTGTGAAGTGTCTGATGGTTCCCTGACAGGGAATTCCAGTGTCTCCCGTTCCTCAGTGCAGGAGAAAATAGGTATCCTTTGGACGGCAGGTCAGAATGGAAACACTGAACCTAAACCTAAGTGATCATTACAATATCAACAAGATGGTATTACTTCAGATGATCCACCAGAGAAGAGGGGACTAGAGAATCTTTTTGTAATGTATGCATGTGTTTGTGTACAGGTATGAGTATGCTGAGTGTGCTGCTTGCAGAGGCCAGAAGGGGGCAATGGAGCCCTGGATTATGGGAGCTTGTGAGCCACCTAACCTGAACATTGGGAACCAAATTGGGGTCCTCTGCAAAAGTAGGACTCACTCTCAATCACAGACTTCCTTCTAGCCCAAGCCTAAGGAATCCTAAGCAGAAACACGAGTAAGTGTTTCTAGCAGACAAAAATAAAACCTACAGAAAACATAAAACAAAAATCTACTTGAATGACTAGTGAATTCTACATAGTTCAATGCTGTACCATCTGGATAGTCCCAGACCACAGAAATGGCAACAGCTGATAGGTCTTTCCATGGCCATTGTTTGAATTTGTTATTTGTATATGTAAAGGTTATGCATCTGGGATGGAGAGATGGCCCAACAGTTTCAAACATGTGTAGCTCTTCCAGAGGACCCAGGTTCAGTTCCCAGTACCCACATGGCAGGCAGCTCACAACAATCCAGCTCCAGAGGCTCCTGAAAAATCATCTCCACTGAAACAGGCCTTCCCAGCCCCCACCTGAAAGCATGACTTCTTCCGGTGTCATTCCTACCGACCTGGGCACATGGTTCCTGACTCTTGTCTCTTCACATTCCAAGGCGCCTGTCTCTGTTCCAGCAATGAGACCAGGTAAGGCTTACACACAGTGAGACCTGTTTATTACAAAATAGAGAACAATGTTCAGTTAAGAGTCTCCTAATAAGTAATAACATTTCTCTGACCATACTTTGCTAGGTGAAAAGAAGAAACATAAAAGGAGATATCAGGAAATGATTTCTGATTATTCCCTGCCACACACATTAGAATATGTCTGCTGGGTGGTGGAGGCTCACACCTTTTATCCCAGCACTTGGGAGGCAAAGACGGGCAAATCTCCGAGTTCAAGGCCAGACTAGTCTACAGAGTAAGTTCCAGGCCAACCAAGGCTATTCAGAGAAAAAATAAATATATGTGTGAGGGATTTTCAACTTGGAGAAGCTGAGCGTCACTTGCACACATGACCAGCTCAGAGCAAATGGGTTTGAAGACACAGCCACAATGCTTTGTGCTAGCAACTCTCTGGAGTTACCACTGGTCTAGAGCACTGGGTCTCAACCTTCCTAGTGATGCAACCCTTTAAACAGTTCCTCGGGTTGTGCAGACCCCCAACCGGAACATTATTTTTGTTGCTCCTTTGTAACTGTAATTTTGCTGCTGTGATGAATTGTGATGTAAATGTCTGCTATGCAGGAAATGTGATATATGACCCTGCGAGCGAGGGTCAAGACCCACAGGTTGAGAATCACTGACCTAGCATGAAGAAGAAACACTTCCTCAAGAAGGGAGATTTCAAAATAAATTCAATTAAAATGATCTTCTCCAGACCATCAAACCTCTAAATATTTCTCTTATGCATAGGAATGCCAACTGCCTTCACACAAAACAGAAGCCCTTGAGACACAGGCTACAGAGAAGGGAAATCAGATGTTGAGAGAGAGCTAAGAATTCTGTAGACGAGAGATCCTCACCCAGGGAGACAAGGTTCCTGTAATTCTCCAACATCACATCCCTATACAAATTCCACCGAGCAGGGTCTAGGCATTCCCGCTCCTCTGGGGAGAAATCAATGGACACATCCTTGAATGACAGCAGCTCCTGAAATAAAAGTCAATAGCACAAAGAACTAAACACAAAGAAAACAAACAACCCAATCAAGAACTGGGCTAAGGAACTGAACAGAGAGAACGCTCTCCAAAGAAGACATACACATGGTCAATGAATGCTTTTAAAATGGCTCAATGTCCTTAGCCGTCGAGGATATGCAAGTTTAGTCCTTTGAGATTTCGTCTCCTCACAGTCAGAATGGGTACAATCAAGAGAACAAGAGACAGTGAGGATGCGGAGCAAGGAGATCACCTGGTCACTGCTGCTGGGAGTGTCAACTGTATAACCCCTATGGCAGTCAGTGTGGAGGCTTCTCAGACAGCCACAGATAGACCACCACATGTCCCAGCATAACCCAGAGGGCTCCGTGTTCAACTACAGAGACACTTGCTCATCTCTGACCATGGATGCTCTATCCTAAGAGCCAGGCAATGGATCCACCTAGATGCCCACCAGCTGAAGAGTGTACGGTGACAAGGTGATGCGTGTACACAGTGGTATTTTACTCAGCTGTAAAGAAAATGAAATTTGCAGGGAGATGGATGGAATTGAGAAACATTATACTGAGGTCCAGAAAGACAAACACCACATGTTCTCTCTAGGATACTACCCTAGCTCTGAATTTTCAGATCTGTGTACTTCACTTGGGGTGATTGTGGAGGTCAGGAAACTAGATAGAGGCCGCCGAATTGGATGAGGCCTTAAAAACACATGGGACATGAAAATAGCAGGGGATATAGGGACAGCACCTCCCCCAGTGGGCTGGGCCTTCCACATCAATCATCAACCAAGAAAATGCTCCAACCTTGCCTACAGGCCAATCTGATGGGGGCATTTTCTCAACTGGAGTTCCTGCTTCTCAGACAACTCTTGTTTGTGCCAAGTTGAAAAAAACAAAAACAAAACCACCTACCTAACCAGGGCACTGTGTTCTGATTTGCAAGTGGTATTGTAAGAGCTGGAGAGATAGCTCAGCGGTTACTGCTCCCTACAGAGGGTAAAGGCACTTTTGGCCATGATTGACAGCTTACTGCTCCCTACAGAGGGTAAAGGCACTTTTGGCCATCATTAACAGTTTACTGCTCCCTACAGAGGGTAAAAGCACTTTTGGCCATGATTGACAATTTGGGTTCCATCCTCAGGACCCACAAGGCAGGAGAGAACCAACCCCTACAAGTTGTCCTCTGACCTCAAGCATGCTGTAATACGCACACACAACTCCACATGTAAAAACACACACACATGCACACACACACTCAAGCGGACACAAATTAAATGTTATTTTAAAACTTTAAACTTAAGGGGGTAAAAGGATTCTAAAATTTGTACAGAAAGGCAAAGACCCAGAAGAGTCAGCACACCGCAGATGGCCACGAGCTAACTTTAATGGATTCGGCAGGGGAGTGATAGGAGCTCCAGACTGCAGTGAAGAAGGGTAAACCCGTATACCGTAGGGCTGTCTCCCGTCAAGAGCTGTGAACTGAGACAGCTGTGGCGGAGAACAAACAGAGCGTCTGGCAGATGCTGCTCACTCATCTTCAGTATGGTCTCTTGTGAGAAGTTCCCATACCGCACAACCACCCCAGAGAAACTCAGAGAAGGCCCAAGATGCCAGCAGAAACCATTTCTATCATGTCTTAATAGCTTTAAAAAGCGAGCTCTTCTTCTCACCGCCCACAATGAACAGCAGCAACCACGTAGCCATTTGACCCACGCCTTTGGTGTTTACGCTCACCTGAAGTTGAGGCTTCTACTTACTAAAGCACATCATAGCTGACACATTATACCTAATGAGAAAACCTTTACCCTGGGAAAGCACAAAAAGTGAACCAATGAAAGGCCATTTTCAGTACACAGATGTCACCATAAGTCATGCAGCATCCCAACTACTAGAAATACAGGCATGTACAACTACACACAAATATGACCAATTATTTCAAAGTGCATGTGGCGATAGAAATGACCAGGAGATCAGTAAGTCGGGGAAGTTAAATACTACAAAAAGAGGAGATTTTGGATCTTTTTGGTTTTTGTTGAAACAGGGCATTCTTAAACTTCGTGGCGTTTACTCAAGCAGGCACTAGAATGGCACTAGTCTCATCCTAGAATGAGAGGATGTTCGGTCTGTACAAAAGCGCATTGGAGATTTGCTGACATAGTCACAGAACACAATAGAGACCTGTTCTACCAGAGGGCCCAGAGATGCAGGATATGTTTTTGCAAAGAAGAGAATGCTGAAACTCACAGTCTGGTGATATATCTACAATGGGTACCTATTGCCCTGATGTCAGACATGAAAAAAAAAAAAACTGAGTGACCCCAATTTTCCAGCCTTTATTCAAGGGACTATATATGAACTCCCAAGTTTTGGGAGCAAAAAAGGTAAAGATCTCCCTAGACCTCAGGCAGCGGGTAACTATAAGCATATGTATGAACATATCCATGGGGTAGTTATAAGTGCAGAAAAAGGGGTTAAAAAAAAACAGGTTCTTGTACAGTCCTAGAAATCATTTGTAGTATATGCTTCCAGGAGCTCCATAAAAGCATAGATTCTAATTTATTTGCAACAGCAATTTAACACAGCCTTTAGAAAGGCTGTTACAAAAGAGATAACCAGTTGTCAGAAGGCATCAGCAAAAACAAGAAAATTTCTAAACCAGCCTGGGCTACATGAAGCACACTAGAAAAAAAAAATGACAAATTTACTGTGGGAATCTTTTTAATAACGTGAAAGCTCTTTAAAAAAAAAAAAAAAGCTAAAACTGATTTGCTGTATGATCCAAACAAAAGTCACAATACAGAGTAAGACGACCAGGATGAGGACATAGTTATATTACAGTAGCCAGTGTGTGTAGAGAAATGCAATGCCTTCATATAAAATATAGCAAAGGTCCCCCTCACCCTCTTGAGATCCGGCCGCTCCCCTTAATGGCTGCATGCCCACAGATCCACCGTAGGACAGAATCCGGGGACTCCCCTTTACTATACAACCCGAGACAGGGCAGCTGGGAGCACCTAGTACCAGCACTTGCTGTCAGAAAGTATTGAAATCCAGTAAAAAAAAAAAAAAAGGAGGAGGAGGAGGAAATGAAGACACGCCACCTCTGAAAGTCAGCCAGGAAAGCTCAACCCAAAGATAGCATGATAAAGGGTCTGTGCTTAGAGAAGATGAGCGAAGTGTGACATTAAAAGTTTTATCAGGTGGTCTACTAACTATCCTGTGCTTTCTGCTCCAGCGCAACAATCACGAACACAAACCAAGCCCTTTCAAATTTACCACTGGATGTGGCAGGGGGCGGATAAAAAGCACAGAGTATGCTTGAAATCTACGCGGGGACAGTTTAATGGGAGACAGGAAGCTGGCGTGGGAAATACTTAGGAATTCACTGTCCTGAATGGAAGCCGCTCATAGACTAGGATGCTCAGAAGAGGGCTCAGCCCAGTGCTCCTTCCTGTCAGGCGGAGCCGGGTTTTCCCCACGATCCTGCCATCCGGCTGCCAGCCCTCGCTGAGAGCCGACAGGGCTGCCTCAGAATGAATCCACCCGCGACTCCCGCTGACACCGAACGGCTGCAGCGGCAGGAGGCCGGGCCCCGACTCACCATGTCCGGATTCCGGAACCAGGAATTTCCGCGGTGTCCCATTCCGGCGTGTCCGGGCTCGCGGGTTCCGCAGCGTACCGTTCCGGGGTCTCCGGGTTCCCGTTCAGGAGACCCAGTCCCGCGTGTCCGGGTTCCGCGAGGTTCAGGAGTCCTCCTGTGAGGCCGAGTGATGAGGTCACGGGCTGATCGGCAAGAGCGAGACTGGAAGTGCAGGCTGGAAACGGACTCCACCTTGGCGGATCCCACACAAAGCTAGTCGAGGCTGAAGCCCATCTCAGTCTAGTGGCACGAAATGGAGAGGCTTCCGGGCTCCCCAGAGCCTTGACTGACAGTGCGAATACCACTTGTAGGCTGAGCAAGAACAAAACGGCAGGTCTTTGCTGTACAGGTTTTTATTTTAATGATTTATTTTATTTTTAAATATTTTTGGCAATCCTGAGAATTTTGTACAATGTATTTTGACTAACTTTTGTGTATTTTGCATTCCCTTGTAGTTGCTTCAAATCCCTATTAAATATCTGGCATTTGGAGATTATAATGTTCATTTCTGGCCTTGTGATAAACAACTGGCATGTTGACTTGATGTCCACTTTTTTTTTTTTCTGGAAAGAATACTCTGATGAATACAGAATCTTGTTTAATACAGAATCTTATATTGACATTCCTTTTCTCTGAATTAAAAGATGTAACTTCTTTTTTGTTTGTTTGTTTTCCCTTTTGTTTTTTTTTTCTTGTTTGTTTTTCAAGATGGGATTTCTCTGTGTATCCCTAGATGTCCTGGAACTCACACTCTGTGGATCAGTCTGGTCTCTGCCTCCTAACAGGGCTGGGATCAAAGGCATACGCCACACCCACCTTCATATTTAAATTTCTACTCTTGATTAGACATTGCTCTAACAATGGTTTTCTATATATGTATTCATTTTGCATCTTTCTCAATTTTCAGGTATTCTTTGGATCGTACCAGTTTGACTATAGTGTGTGTTTTAGGGTTACAGTTGCTGTGATAAACGCCATGACCAGAGCAACCTGAGGAGGAAAGGGGAAATTTGGCTTCTGCTTCCACATCGCTGTTCATCACTGAAGGAAGTCAGGATAGAAATTCAAGCGGGGCAGGAACCTGGAGGCAGGAGCTGATGCAGGGGCCGTGGAGGATGCTGCTTACTGACTTGCTTAGCCTGCTTTTCTATAGAATCCAGGATCACCACCCACAATGGGCTGAGCCCTCCCCCAGCAATCACTAAAGAAAATGCCCCCACAGCATTGCCTGTACCCGAGTCATATGGAGTATTTTCTTAATCATGGTTCCCTCTTCTCAGACAGCTCCACATTGTGTGAAACTGACCAACAAAGAAGAAAAGAGAAGAAGGAAGAGGAGGAAGACAGTGACAACACAGTGGGCTTTGGGGGATTTCAAATCCTAAGTCACACAGATCAGCTTTCACGGAGAAAAACAAGCTGACTGGAAATGAAAGCCTCTTAATGAGATGCAGATTAAGACTTCATTACTAAGAGATGATGTACAGAGAAGAAGAGTCACATAAATAATGGCTCTCAAGGAGGTGAAGTAGGATAGGATGCCAAAAATTTATACTACAGATCACTGAGCCCATTTGCACAACCTCCCCAAATGTCGTGGGGATTCCACCAGAGAAGACTACTTGAATGTAGGTTTGAGTCAATAGAAAGTTTTTGTTGGCTGCTAGTCAGTGGTCACACTGTTCAGGATCCCAGTGTTGCCCTGAGCCTTTCTCAGGGTGAGCTTTCAAGCACAAAAACCATTGCCTGGGTTGACATACTTCAGATGCAAGAACACTTAGCCAAAAGCAGAACCACAGAAAACAAAAACCAAGGTTAGTACATTTAAAGACTTTCCCGAACTATGGACTTTCGTGCATTAGGTCTTTGTTTTTGTTTTGGCTAGTGGTGCTATCTGTGTGTTCAGTTTTCGGGCTTGAACGGTACTTCCATCATGGAGTCAGTTGTGTTCAGTTCTGGGTGCCTGTTACAAAAGGATCACTGCTTACTGGCTTGCTTTCCAGGACTTGCTCAACTACTATTCTTAGACCCACCTACCTAGGAATGGCACTACCTGCCTACAAATGGCACCACCAGAAGTGGGCTGGGTCCTCCTAGATCAATTAGCAATTAGGCCAAGCTGATAGAGGCTACTTTCTAATTGAGGTTCCCACTCCCAAAATGACTCTGAATTGTGTCAAACTGACAGGTTAAGTTAACTATGACACTAATTGTCTTAGTTACTTCTCTACTGCTGTGATAAAACACCATGACCAAGGCAGCTTACAGAAGCAGAGTTTATTTGGGGCCTGCAGTTACAAACGAATATCATCCATCACAATCATGGCAGGGATCATGCCAGCAGTCAGGCAGGCTGAGTGCTGGAGCAGCCACTGAGAACTCATATAGTAGTATACAAATAAGAAGCAGAAGCACACTGTGAAAATGACCCAAGTCTTTTGAAAGCTCAAAGCCTGTCACTATGGCAACACCTTCTTCAAACGAAGCCACATTTCTTAATCTTTCCCAAAGAGCCACCAACCAGAGACCCAAGTATTCAAAAGTCAGAGACTTACAGAATACATTTCATTGAAACCACCACAGACATGGTGTTTTACCACAAGAGAAAAGTGAGAGACAGAAGTTGATACCAGGAGTGGGGTGCCGCCATGAAGAAACTGACAATGTTGGGTTTTGGAGAAATGTGGAGGTCTTTGAGATTTTGGACTAGAAAGCTGGATGAACACTGAAAGCAGAACTTAACGGACCATCTTATCAGGAGAAAATGGTGATGAGAGCTGTGTGGGCTATGGAGGCTGGGAGCAAGAGGTTTCACAGGGGAATAAAGCAACTGGGTTTACATTCTTGTGATATTTTTGCAAAGGATGTAGCTGTTTTCTGCCCTGGTTCTAAGAATTTGCTGGATTGATTTCTTTGGTGGAGATCTCAAGATAGTCTAATACTGACTGTTACATGGTTGTTGGTGGTCACTCTTATGAAGGTCTATACTGAGAAATACAAGGTGGGAATTTTTAGATGAAATAAACCCTTTCTTCCCCGAGTTGCTTTTGGTCATGGAATTTTATGATATCAATAGAAACCTAACCACACACCTTTGTACCTGGGATCTGGAAAGTCTGAGCTCAGGTCCTCATCCATGCAAACCCAAGCACTTTAGCCACAGCATCACCATCATAGTCCCACATCTCAGTCTTGAATCAGAGTCAAGGGGCTTCCGGTCATTTCGCTGGTGATGCCGGCACAACAGCAGGTACAGATGGCCATGCTGGATTTCAGGACTAAAGCTAAAATCAGGCCACACGAGGAAACATGGGTTAGCACTGCAAGAAATGCCTCACGTTCATTATGAGTTTGACTTTTAATTTACAGTTTTTATCAGTATATTGAAGGTGTACAGTGTGTGTGCTTGGTTGTCCATGCCAAGATATGTGTGTGTGGGTTAGATGACAACCTTCCAGGTGATTCCGTCCTTACACTTTTGCAGAGGTTCTGGGAAGCAAACTCAGTTTACACCTCTACCTCCTGATAATCGCGCTGTTCCCTGAACTTATTCTTGGTCCTTACATCCTTGACCATGGCCAGATTGTCCCCAACCCTGACACTCTCCTATGCAACCAGTGAATACGATTGCAGTCCAATGGCCAAGAAGCCCTGGTGTACGTGTCTGGAGTATTTCAGTTCAAAGGGCTATTTCCCGGAGTTCATAAAGAAGAAATCACAGAGGACTTGTGCACTCCTAAAAGATTTTATTGCCGGGGCCACGGGTCACAAAAGCATAAATTATATGAGCTCCCTGGAGGAGAAACTTAAGGGTTGTTGTCATTGTTGCTGTTGTTTTAGAGGTAGCATTATTTCCTCAGTATGTCGTGCACATCGTTCATCTGAAGAAAATAAAAAGCATACTAGGTGTGGAGGATATTCACTCAACCCAGGGCCCTTTCCAGATGTAGTCAATAACAAAAGAACTATGGTGTTATCTGAGCATCTGTCAGAACAAGAGGGCCAGCTGTAGCAGCATCCATGGCAGGAGAGAGCGCAGTCCTGCTTCCCTCTCAGCTTGAGCCAGGCCAAGCAGCAAAAGCTGTCTGTGGGAAGCCTGGCAGGTGGGAAGATACATAGTAGCCCTGTAGCAACACTCTGGGAGGAAGCTGAATGGCTTCTTAATATGACTGTGAATTGCGTAGGGTTAGGCGAGGTAGTGTCTCTGACACAGTCTTCTGGACCTGAACATACAGCCTGCTTTGTTTCCAAGGTAGTCTTACTCCACAGTGCAGGGCATACTTGCGCCTGCCCAAGCTGGCTTTGCAATGACTGTCCCGCCTCAGCTTCCCAGATCTGGGATTCAGGTATTAAGGCGTTACACCAGCAACAAACTCCTTCTGATAGAGACTGCTGTGTCCTGCTGAAGGAGCATCTATTACATTCTATCTGCTCTGTGTCCTGCTGAAGGAGCATCTATTACATTCTATCTGCTCTGTGTCCTGCTGATGGAGCATCTATTACATTCTCTCTGCTCCGTGAGCTTGATTGCGTCGCACAGACGTCAGAACCCTGTATAGGAAGTACGATTCCTCACTAGCTGTCGTCTGAGGAAACTGGACCAGTGAACTTGCTGAATTTCATGTCACTCATACAACTGAAAAGAAAAATTATTTATCTTATTGTGTAGGGAAAAATGTCACTTGCTGTGAGAATGCATGCCATCAATCCCAGCACCAGAAAGGCAGAGATAGGCAGGTGTCTGTGAGCTTGGGGCCAGCTTGGTCTACCGACCAAGTTCCAGGTCAGCAAGAACTACATAGTAAGACCCTGCCTCCAAAATGAATGAATGAATAAATAAATAATAGAAAAAGAACAAAAGAAGGGGGAAAGGAATATAATATACTAATAATATCTCTATGTATCAAGCTTTATTTTGAGCTACCAACCAGCCCCCAAATCATGACACAGAGACTTATTAGCTATGAACACTCAGCCTCGCTTGTGTTCATTGCTGGCTAGCTTTTTTTCTTAAACTTAAATTAACCTGTTTCTCTTCATCTACATTTATGTTGGGGCTTTTTACCTTCCTTTCTGTATGTCCAAGTCTGTCTGTCTGGTAGCTGCCTAGCTGGCCCTGGGCATTTCCTTCTCTTTCCTCCTCTCTTCTTCTCTCAAGTCTAGATTTCTCCTCCTATTTACTCTCTCTGCCTGCCAGCCCCGGCTATCCCTCTCCTGCCTTGCTATTGGCCGTTCAACTTTGTGTTTGACCAATCAGGCAACAGCAACATATCTTTACATAATTACCCAAAAACAGCATAGACAAAAGTAACACACCTTTACATAGCTAAATTAATATTTCATAGCATAAACAAACATAACACATCTTTGCCTAGTTAAAACATTTTGCCACAACATCTCTATGTATGTTCACACTATGATAGAGCATCTTAGAATTAATTTCTAATATAGAATTTAATTATGCCTTCTTAAAATATGGTAAGGGTTATATGAACAGAATCATAAACTTCATGAGGCAAATCATACATTATGTCTTCCATGAGTAACAGGTAAATCAAGATGAATTAATACCAGGAAATTCTAAACCAAGATCCATGACATTTTGAAGAAATATATTCGGTGAAAACAAAGTAAAAATCTCCCCTCAGAATATGTGAGGATTCTAGGTAGCTATAATTTATCAACTCCTTTAAAATTCACAGAAATTCTACATAGAATTCTATAATTCTCTTCCCAATCATTATTCAAGCAGACCCATCTACCATTCTCCTAAAATTTACCATTAGATCATAAGAGTTGGACACCTGAATCTATAAAAATGAATAGCAAATATTTATGTGTGCTTTGAGTCCAAAAAGGGGAAATGGGGTGGAGAAGATCTGATAAAATTTTATAACTTACAATTCAAGATTCAGAATATTATGATACATTATTATACTCCTACAACCCTCATAATTTCTGGATAATTATTAAAAGGAATGAATAAAAGTTATTCATATAAGAATAGTCTCCTCCAAATTCTTTAGTACATGATGGAACTGGGAGTTCCACTTGGTCTATGAGTCATTCAATACACTTCAAAATATTCAATAGGTTTCTTAATACCCTGTTAAGTAGGATCTGCCACCTGTATTCTTGAGCACAGGGGTTCGATGTCTGTGACAGAAAGAGAAGTCACTCAATACATGCCAACGATAAAACATTAGTTATCTATTTACTAAAACGAATTTCAGCATACAGTGTATACAACATTCCAAAGTCCACTATACAATCTACAGAGAATACATCAATAATTCCCAGGAAGCGGTTTGGCGTTTCTTTGGAAGGGCCTGAGAGTGGGCCTTGTGCACTTTTGAGCAGTATGAGGCTACTTACTGAATGCAAATGGCAGCTGTGAGCTGCTGCATCCAAGCACAGACGAGTTGTCTGGTGACTCTGGTATCTGTGAGCTGCTTCTTCCAAGCACAAGAAAGATGTCAGTAAATTTCTGCCAAATTTCACGTGTTTGTAGGATTTCTATCTTATACTAATTCCTATAAGTAAATTAAAAGCTGAAATATTGGTGAACGCTCTCATAATCTGTTTATTTTGTAAAAAAGGATTTCCAAAATTAATAGTTGGCCCTTCTGAGGTATTGAATACTGGACAATGGTCTTTTCTGAGTCATTACATATATACATTTTCTGGGACTGGACAGATGGCTCAGCAGTTAGTAGCTGCTCCTGCAGAGGATCTGGGTTCGGCTCCCAGTCTCCACACGGCAGTTCACAGCTGTCTGCAACTCCAGGATCCAATGCCCTTTTCTTCTTTTCAAAGGCACTGCATGCATGTGGTGGGCATGCAGGCAAAGCATCCAAACAAATTAAAATAAATTAATAATTCATGTATAAAGGTTCTATCTAGTAAGAATTTTTTTTTACATAAAAATGTTGAAATTTGGTCAGTACAATCTATTAGTTTCATTCCACTATAGCTTGGTGTTTGATTACTTAAGCATTTTTGTCACACTCTTCCTTAAATTACATGTGGATGTGTGTTTGCCTGTGTGGGAGCATGTGCGTACGAGTGCAGGTGCCCTTGAAGGCCAAAGCTGGGCTTGGATCCCAGGAGTTGGAGTTTTAGGAGGTTCTAAGCCACCCAGTATGGGGGCTGGTAACCAAACTCAGTCTCCAAAAGCAATGCAGGCTCTGAAGCAATAAGCCGTCTCTCCAGTTCCCTTTACCACATTCTTTAGTCTTGCTTCCCTCACTTATGAGTCCTTTGATGGCGCATGAAATTTGAACAATTGTTAAAGGCTTTCCCGCATTCTTTGCATTTAAAGGGTTTTTCTCAGGTATGAAGTCTCTCGTGTCGACAAAGTGTCGCGCTGTCCTTAAAAGCCTTGTTGCACTCTCTACACTGGAAGGGTTTCTCACTACTGTGAGTTACATGGTGCCGGTGAAGGTGTGAGGAACAGCCAAAAGCTTTGCCGTACTTTCTCTGCAGCTGTACGGTTTCTCTCCGGTGTGAACCCTCCGGTGTTGGGCAAGGTGTGAGGCGCAGTTGCAGACCTTACCACACTCTGCACATCTGTAGAGGCTGTCTCCGGTATGCATTCTCTGGTGCAGATCAAAGGACGAGGAACGGTGATAGCCTTTGCCACATTCCTTGCAGGTGTAGGGCTTCTCCGCGGTGTGGCTTACCCGGTGTTTATGAAGCTGTGAAGAACAGGCGAAGGTGCTACCACATTTCTTACACCTGTACGGTTTCTCTCCAAAATGAATATTCTGGTGTTGGTTAAGGTGCGAAGAGCGGCTAGAGGCCTTGCCACACTCTTTACACACATAGCGCTTCTCTCGCGCGTGGATTCTCAGATGCCGACTAAGGCGTGAAGAATAACTAAAGGATTTGCTACACTCTTCACATCGATACGCTGTCAGCTCCGAGTGGATTTTCTGGTGTCGGTTAAAGTGGGCAGAGCTGTGAAAGGCTTTCTCGCACACTTTACACGTGTAAGGCTTCCCTCCCGCGTGAATCGTCTGGTGTCGCGTCAGGGTCTTGTTGAAGGCTTTGTCACACTCTCGGCATTTGTAGGGCTTCTCGCCTGTATGAATTATCTGGTGTCGAGTCAGGGTTGAGCGGTAATAAAACCCTTTTCCACACTCTTGACATTTATTGGGTTTTTCTCCTGAGTGAATCCTCTGGTGTTGGTTAAAGTATGAGGAGAAGTGAAAGGCCTTGTCACACACTGCACACTTGTAGGTCTTCTCTGCAGCGTGGATCATCTGGTGCCCCATAAGGGCTGAAACGTTATTGAAGGCTTTGCCACACTCTTGGCAAGGGTAGGGTTTCTCTCCTGTGTGGATTATCTGGTGTCGTGTGAGGTTTGAACTATTATTAAAGGTTTTACCACATTCTTCACATTGGTAAAGCTTCTCTCTTTTTGGAGCCCTCCGCTGTCGAATAGAAGTTGTGTTATAAGTAAAAGCTTTGCCACCTTCTTTACGATTCTGAGACTTCTCTTGAACAGGTGGACGTGGATGGGTAGCGAGTTCTGAGTGCTGAGCAAAGTCTTCCCCAGACTGGTTATGTCTGCAGAGGTCCTCTGGGAAAAGAGTACACTGGTCTTTGCTAGGATGTGAACCATGATTCCAGCTGTAGTATTCTTGTACTAACAAGTTTTTCTCTCCAATATGAATACCTGTATAATTACTCAGGATAGGACGCTCCCTGATGACTGGCCTATTGTCACTGTGCATGCTCTGTTTTCACAATGCCCTTGTCTGCATTTGGGTTAGGGAAAATGGAGTGTTGAACTGAGTGTGTGGCTCACACCAATAATACTGGCACTTGAAAATCTGAGGCAAGAGGATTGTCATGAGTTCAAGGTTAGCTTAAAGTACATAGGAAATTCCAGAGCAGCCTAGTCTACAGAGTGAAACCCCACTTTTATAGGGGGGGTAACTTCCTGTATTTATTAAATTTGTACTTTTGGCATAAAAAAAAGACTTGTTTGCTAATGACAGAATAATGACTAACGTCTCAGTGTGTGTGTGTGATGGATGAGTGTGCCAAAAGGCCAGAGAAAGGCATGGGAGTCCTTCCCGAGCACTCTCTGCCTTTTTGTTTTGAGACAGGGTTTCTCCCAAATGAGTTTGTGGCTTGTGTCTAAGACGGCATCCAGCATCCAGCAAGCCCCGGGGATTCTCCCTTCTCTACCGCTCTTAATGCTGCAATTACTGAGGCAGATAGGAAGGTGCCCAATATATGACAGCTGAGACCCAGAGCCCAGTGCTCGGACTTCAGCAGTAAGTGCTCTTACCCACGGAGCCATCTCTTCCCTCTCTCTTTCTCTCTCTCTCTCTCTCTTTCTCACACAGGTATATACAACTCTATTGAAACTGTAGTAATAAGAGATGTTTTAATTTCACTTATTATTAACTTATGTTATCCTGATGTACACAGTATTAGAAACTGCCAGCCAACAGCAATATACAGGTTAAAAACTACCATTATTATCAGCTGGTGTGAAAGAACCTACTCTAAAATAAAATAGAACACAGACCACGGAAATGAAAAACAAGAAAAAGAACTACTTCATAAAATTCTTAATAAGCAACAATGTACCATGAAAAATGCCTCCCAGATAGGCACGATTTTCAATTTTGACAATACGCCCATGAATAATGCGCATTTTAAATGACTGACATTCACAGTTTTAAAAAAAAAAAAACTCACACCCACAAACCAAACCAAAAGAAGAAAGCAGTCAAATCGCACATAAAAAGCCCTGTGCAGCAACTGCAATGAATAGCTATATGAACGACATTAAGCAGACTTTTTAATTTACATTATGTGCATGTCGGTGCGAAGGTATGCCACGTGCGGAGTGTGTTCATAGGGGCCAGAAGAGGGAGTCGATCCCTGTGGTGGGTGGTTGGGAGTTGTCTGGCGAGGGTGCTGGAGATCAAACTCAGGTCATACGGAAGGACAGCAAGTGCTATCAACTTCTTTCTGAACCATCTCTCTGGCCCTGAAAAACTTCTTTTTGGTGCGAATATTTCATTTCTATGGCTTAACACAGAGGTCTTCAGGCATGTGCATAATTTTTTGAGGCCCACAAAGAAAGAAAAGAAAAATCAGGGGGGCGAGATTATACAGACCTTCAAAAGGAGGACTCTGCTGTCACTGGCGATGGGCTGGGAGGTCCCTAGAGAAGGAGATGCAGAAGACCAAACAGTGTGATGAACACAGGGCAGCTGGCTTTCTCCGTTAGTAAGAGAAACAAGTGTAGTCCCTTGAGAAATCATCTCCACTGACTCAGGCTTCCCAGTCTTTAGCTCCAAGCCACTCCTCCTTCTGGATCTCTGGACCGCTCACCTGCGTCCTCGAATTCTTTCACGCCTACCTACCTGGACATATGGTTCCTGACTCTTGTCTCTTCACATTCAAAGGCTCCGTGCTCTGCTCCAGAAACATGACCAGGTAAGGTTTACACGCAGCAAGGCCTGTTCATTGGAAAACAGAAATGATGCTTGCTTGGAATTTCCCAGCTCACACTGCTGGGGGTGTGGAAGGGGATGGCACAGTGGGAGACTCTAGGAAAGTATGTCCTCTGTTGTCTCCTACCAGACATAGTAGAATACACACGGAGAATTTCACTTTGGAGATAAGGCTTCACTTGCACATATGAGTAAATCAAAGGGAACATTTGGACTTTAAGATGCAGTTTATGATAGCTACAGGCCGTCGAACTGCAAAAATTACCAGCAATCTAAAGAAACATACTCCATGAAGAAAGGAGATGTTAAAAGGAAATACAGTTTAAACGGATCTCGTCCAGGACTTTGTGAGAAGGGTAAGTAAGTTCCTGGGAGATATTCTACAAAGGAAGGGATCTGAGACTTCTGTAGGGAAGAGATCCTCACCCAGGGAGACAAGGTTCCTGTAATTCTCCAACATCACATCCCTATACAAATTCCACCGCGCAGGGTCTAGGCATTCCCGCTCCTCTGGGGAGAAATCAATGGACACATTCTCAATTGACAGCAGCTCCTGAAATAAAATAAGTGGATGGAACAATGGTCGTGTAATCCCGGAACACAGCGTTCGGTGGCATCACTCATGCTGTGGTGAGCTTTCGGAGATGCAGCTGCATCTGGTTATCCTTACTCCTGATGCGATGATGCTCATCCACACGCCGATGAGCAACCTCGACAACCTCACTGTCTCACTAAACTAAACGTTAGTGACGCAGGGAATCTCTTCCTTGGTCTGTGATCAGTACCCTGATGTAACGAATAAGCATTTATTTACACTGCCACAGGAGAAGTCGAACAACACACAGAACCACAGGCGAGTTTGGGAAGAGCAGTTGAGTGTCCCTGCAGCGGATGCTGAGACATGAAATCGGAGCAGATCTGTGAGTGGGTCATCCATGGAAGCCACCTCGGTGTGACCACCTTGCTTCACATGGTGGGGGATGGTGTACCTCCTTACTGTTATAATGGTTGCCTGTTCCCTGTGATGAGGAATAGGATATCCAACCACTGGCCAGTCATCTCCTTGAGGAGTGTAGTGTTCTTGACTGGGAATCCCAGAGTAGCCATTTAACTGTATGTGGCAAGGGGTGACATGCTGCCACGATGCATTAGGTCTGCTATATGAGTATAAGCATGCTTCAAAATGGTAGATAAAGGAATACATTGCACCCAGGCATGGTGGCACACACCGTTAATCCCAGCACTCAGGAGGCAGAGGCAGATGGATCTCTGATTTTGAGGCCATTCTGGTCTACAGATTGAGTTTCAGGTAGCCAAGGCTACATACATAGAGAAGCCCTGTCTCAGAAAAAGAAAGAGAGAAAGAGGGAGAGAAGGAGGGAGGGAGAAAGGAAAGGAAGGAAGGAAGGAAGGAAGGAAGGAAGGAAGAAAGGAAGAAAGAAAGAAAGAAAGAAAGAATATATTGCAGTCTCTGAAAGCAGCATGCACGGGATGGGAGGCAGCCTGTAGTCTTTCAGCTCTGTGGCCTTTGTTGTGTCCAAGAATAAATGCAACGGAGGCTCAGCTTTCTTCTCAAGGAGAATTTGCCAGTGTACAAGAGGAGTTACAAATAAGAGGAGAAAATCGACCAGGGGATGCTATCTGCTGCATGGGCATCTAATTTCACAAAGGAAGTTGAATATAGGAATGAAGAGATGGAGGCATTAACTTGCAGTTTCTTACAGATGCAAGAAAAGGAAAATAGAAGTTAGATCTATGCTAAAGGCCCTTCCTAAGATCCAAACCCACGGGGCCCATGGGAAGAGTCAGATCATGAACAGGAGGAGGATGTGACCAAAAAGAGAAGATAGCAAGTGAAGACGAACGGACTGAAGGGGAAGCTGTGAGTCTCAACAGTCGCACTACAGCTTCCGCGATAAGATTCTTCTTTTCTCTTGTTTTTTTATTTGTCCGTTTGGTTGGTTGGTTGATTTGGTTTTTGGTTCTTCTTTTAAATTTGGTTTAGTTTGCGGGGGCGGGGGAAGAGATTTCAAGGGCAGAGGGAAAATGGGAGGGGCTGGGAGATAAGTGGGATTGGGATGCAAAATGTGAAATCCACAAATAATCAATAAAAGTGAAAAAAGAAAGAAAGAAATAGAGATGTTTCTCGGGTCAGTCTTTAAAAAGGGGGAGGCTATGGTCAGCATGCCAACAGAGCCTTAATAACAAGGGATTACGTGGGACCTGAACCACTTAAATTGGGATAGACTTTAAGATTGTATTCTGTGGGAGGGGTGACCGCACATCTTTAAGCCCAGCACTGGTAAGGCAGAAGCAGGAGGATCTCTGTGAGTTCAAGGCCAGCCTGGTCTACAAGAGCTAGTTCCAGGACAGGCTCCACAGCTACAGAGAAACCTTGTCTAAAAAAGAAAAAGGTTGTATTCTGTGTGTGTGTGTGTGTGTGTGTGTGTGTGTGTGTGTGTGTGTGTGT